TGGAGGGGGTGATGGCTAGAGAATTTCTGGCTTCACAAGATGAAGTCAGTGATTCATGAGCTGAGCTGAAATCTTCCCAGCCTGATACTTCCCTTTCTATCACAGCAACCCTCCATGATAGATTAGAATGGTTCCCAGTTGGCCAGGTGCAGTGGCTCATACCTGTAAACCCAACTCTTTGGGAGGCAGAAATGGAAGGATCGCTTGAGCTCAAGAGTTCAAGACCAGTCTGGGCAACATAGTGGGACCCCATCTCTATTTTTATAATGTAAAAGAATATTTTAAATTGTTTCAGATGAGAACATCAAGGCTAAGGGTAACTAACTTGTCCACGCGATTGAGTACAGAGGTAGGTCCGAGATCTGGGTGGCCTGCCCCCAAGCCAGTGCTCTTTCCTGCCACCTACCCTCTCTCTGGGGATGTGCTCACCAAGTTAGCCCAGGGGTCAGTGTGTGAGGTTACAGAGGGACAGCAGCCTGGTTGTGTGCAGGGAGGATGCCCTGGGAGTCAGTTTTTTGTTTGTTTGTTTTTTGAAACAGGGTCTCACTCTGTCCCTCAGGCTGGAGTGCAGTGGTGGCATGATCACGATTCACTGCAGCCTTGACCTCCTGGGCTCAGGGATACATCCCACTAATATGTTCTTGCATTTCTGGGGTGTATCACACTACATCATGGTGTATTATCTTTTTGATGTGCTATTGTATTGAGTTTGCTAATATTTTATTGAAGATTTTTGTGTCTATGTTCATCAGAGGTATCAACCTGTAATTTTCTTTTCTTTCTTTTTTGTATCCTTGTCTGCTTTTGGTATCAGGGTTATGCTGGCCTCATAGAATGAGTTAGGAAGAGTTCATTCTGCTTCAGTGTTTTGGAATAGTTTGAGAAGATTTGGTATTAATTCTTTTTTAAAGGTTCAGTAGAATTCAGCAGGGACGCCATCCAGTCCTAGATTTTTCTTTTTTGAGAGATTCTTTATTACTGATGCAATCTCATTACTTTTATTGGTCTTTCCAAGTTTTCTAAATTTTTCTTGGTTCAATTTCAGTAGATTGTATATTTCCATGAATTTAGCTATTTCCTCCAGGTTTTCCCATTTGTTATCAGATAGTTGCTCACACTGGTCTCTAAGTGATGTCTCTTTTTTCACTTCTGACTTTATTTACTTGAACTTGCCCTTCCCTCCCTCTCCCCGTTTCCCCTTCCCCTCCCCTTTAATTTTCCCCCTCTCCTTCCCCCTCCCCTTTCCTCTTCCCTCCCCTTACCTCCCCTCCTCCCTCCCTTCCCGTCCTCCCTCCCTTCCCGTCCTCTCTCCCTTCCCCTCTCCTTCTCACCCCATCTCTCTGTCTAGTCTAGGTAATGGTTTGCCAATTTTGTTTCTTTTCAAAACACCAGCTTTCTGTTTCATTGATCTTTTGTATTTTTTATCTAAATTTGTTTATGTCAGCTCTGATCTTTATTATTTCTTTTCTTCTACTAACTTTGAATTTGGTTTGTTCTTCCTTTTCTAATTCTTTGAGAAAAATCATTAGATTGTTTTTTGAAATCTTTCTAGTTTTTGATGTAGGCATTTATTACTATAAACTTGTCTCTTAATATTGTTTTTGCTGTGTTCTATAAGTTTGGTATGTTGTGTTTCTAAGTATTATCCTTAATTTCTCCCTTCACCCATTGGTTGTTCAGGAGCATGTTTAATTTCCATATATTTGTATAGTTTCAAATGTTCCTGTTGTTATTGATGTTTAGTTTTAATGCACTGTGCTCAGATGAGATACTTGATATGATTTTGATTTTTAAAAACTTGTTGATACTTGTTTTGTGTCCTAACTTATGAACAGTTCTGGAGAATGTTCCATTGATAATGAAAAGAATGTGTACTATACAGAACATGAGTGACATGTTCTGTAGATGTGTATTAAGTTCTGTAGATGTCTGTTAGGTCCATTTTGTCTATGGTGCAGTTTAAATAGGATGTTTGCTGTTTTTATTTCTGGATAATCTGCTTAGAGTGAGATGTTGAAGTCTCCCAACTATTATTGTATTGAGGTGTATCTCTCCCTTTTGGCCGAATAATATTCGTTTTATATATCTGGGTGCTCCAGTGTTGGATCCACTGAAGATGGAGCTCCACATCTGGTCCTTTTGATCTCTATGTTGGTGACTATTTCAATAAACACACAGTTGCTCAGGCTGAAACCCTAGGTTATCTGTTATTCCTTCTCTTGTACCTTTCCCTTCCCTTCACTCTCTTCCAATAACTCAAAACTGTTCCCACTTTTCCCATCCCCACTGCACAGCCACAATGCAGTCTTGTTTCTCAACCAGATTACTACAACTCCCTGAATGGCCATCTTACCTCCATTTCTGTTTATTCTCCAGACTTTCTTAAGTGCTAATGTGACCACCTGCCACCCAACAGCTGAAAACTGTTTAGTGGTTACCCATCACTTTCAGAATGAAGTCAAAACTGCTTAGGAAAACATAAAATTTATTCATAATCCAGTCCCTGGCAACCTCTTAGCCTCACCTGTTATTCCTGCTTACCCACTATTCCTGTGTTCCATCCATACTGTACTACTTGGAGTTCCTTAGACCAGATATGCTGTCTAGCATTTCCAAACCTTCACATTTGTTCCAACTTCATCAATTCATTCAACAAATATTTATTGAACATGTCCTTTGTGCCAGGCACTGTGCTAGGTGTTGGGTATAAAGCAGTGAACAAAAGATATATAATTCCTACTCCTGTGGGCATAGAGAGACTAAATCAATAAACAAATGAAAACATTAGTCTATAATTACACATTGGAATTTGGTTGCTTTGAAACAGGGTATTTTGAAAGACAGTGGATATAGGGTGTGTGCTGGTAGGGGTTTTAAAGTATTGATAGTTATGGAAAGCCTCTTCAAGAAGGTGATAATTTAAGAAGAAAAGAATAGTTCTACCTGTGACACACTTTGCCATGTTTTTTGCCGACTATTTTATCCCTCATTATTTAAAATTGAATTCAGATTTTACTTTTTCTAAGAAGCCCTCTCTAACTTTATCTATTTAAGTTAGGTACTCCCTTTTTTTTTTATCAAGATATTTTTCTCAGAATTGTAGTGGTCTGTTTTCTTGATTTTCTTATCTGCTAGACTGGGAACTCTTTGAGGTAGGGACTGTGACTTTCATATCTGTATCATGTGTCTGATACCAAAACATAATTTGATAAATTAGTTAACAAAGAAGGACCTGCTATAAAAATGTGCAAGATAATCTAGAAGCTCAGAATAGGTCGACATTACTGTTATTTAGGTGATCAGAAATCTTTGTGCCAAGCTGAAACAGGAAAGACAGGTAACATTTTGACAGGTGAAGACTGGGAACAAAAGAAGATGAGAGAAAAGGGAGGAGCAAGAGGGGGGAGTGGACAACTGTAAATGGAAAACACACGTGTTTGGAAAGTTCTGTTGGACCATAAGGCGTATATGATCAGGAAAGGGGTGTTACAAGCAGAAAATGTAATTTGGCATAAGATGGAAGAGAACTCTGAAATATCAAATTAGGGTAAAGAATAAGTTCTTTTTCTCTTTTGTTTGAGATGGAGTCTTGCTATGTTGCCCAGGTTGAAATGCAGTGGTTATTCACAGGCGTGGTTATTCACAGGCGTGATCATAGCACACTGCACTTTGACCTCCTGCCTCAAGCAGTCCTCTCACCTCAGCCTCCCAAGTAGCTGGAACTACAAGTGCATACCAGTGAATCTGGATAAATTATTTTTCTTAAAAAATCATTTGTAAAAATCAAAACAAAATAAAATTTGTAAAGCATGGTAAAACATGGTAAAACAAATTGCCCTGAACCCATCATTCGACTTAAGAACTAGAACATAACCAATACCTTGGCCTCTTTTCCTTGTACACACCATGTATCCCTTCCCTCAAGGTAACTGTTCTCATAAATTTGGTGTTTTCATTTCCTTGTTCAAAATAAATATAGTTTTAACAAACATATGAAACAAATATTATTTCCTTTGGGATTTGAACATCATGAAAATGAGACAGTGTATACAGAGTTCTGTAACTTTTTTATTCAAATATAATCTTTCATTTTTCCTTTCATTCATTTTAATGTTCTGTAGTATTCCATTATATGTATATACCATAATTCATTTATCTATTCAATTGTTGGTAACTATTGGGGCCCTTATAAATAATATCGCCACAGATATTCTTATTTTATTTATGGCTCCTGTGAATGTGTGCGGGAATTTTTCTAGAAGATATACTTAGAAGGGGAAAAATGCAAATTATAGGGAATGCAAATTCATATGAAAATACCAACTTGTTTTCCAAAGTGGTCATACCACTATGACCATCCATTTCATTCTCTCTGCTCACCCGTTTCCTCGCTTGTAAAACTTTGAGTGATTGGTTTAAAGGATTGTTGCAATACTTACTTTGAAAACCAAATGAGTTAACATATGTAAGATGCTTAGCATAAGACCTGACACATAGATGCTAAAAAGTACTAGTTCCTTCTATAATAAATACCTTCTCCCTTCCCTGCATCTTCTTTTGCCTGGAATCACTAATGTTACATGCTAGTTGGCTTAGCCTTGTTTCACAATGGAGTTCAGTTACATTATTCACATTTTAGAGACCAAAAAAACCCCTGAGGCTTATAAAGGAGATGAAATGTGATTATAAGCAGGCTGATCTCTTGCATCTGGTTTCAAATTTGGATTATGACACATCACGGGTCAGCAAACTATGGCCGGAGGACCAAATATGGCCTGCCACTTGTTTCTGTGTATAAAGTTGCAACAGTAGAGTTGAAGAGTTACCGAAGAGATAATATGGCTGCAAAGCCTAAAATATTTACTATATGGCCTTTCCATGGACTATCAAAATATATTTCTAGATGGCTTTTAAATTTTTTGTAAAACATAATTGCCTATGAAGTGTTGATGGTTCCACGAATGTATTAATTTACTTGCTCAAAATATATTTCTCCTCAGAGATGAAGATAAACTGAAAATGTGGAAACCCAAGTTTCTGACACCGAAGGAAAAAAAAGAGAAAAACGGTGCTGAAGAATCAGAAAGGTGGGAACACAGAGGCACTTATATTATAGGTTATCTGCAGCAATTTATACCTCTTACCAGCTGTGTGGCTTTAGATAAGTAATGAAATTTGATTCTCAGCTTTTTCATCTACAAAATGAAAATGACAACATCTACATCATAGTACAGCTGAGAGGATTAAAAGGGACAAAGAATATAAAAATATTAAGTGTCATACACATGTACCTTCATCCTCCTCCTCCCTGCTTTTGGTGGATAGGAAGTGAGAAAAGATTTCAAGTTAACCATTTTCAAACAATGACAAATTTCTAGTCTTCTTTTAGGTTGTAAGAACTTCCCCTTATAAGATATCATGTAAATAAAACACCAATTAGAACTTAAATGTAACTTTGAGAAAAAAACAAACCAGGTATCATATAGTGACACTGATTTCCCTAAAATATAATTCTAGTTATGACTATAATGAGTGTTAGAAGTTTAAAATGTTTTACTGAGTCAAGATCTAACCTGCATTCGTGTGATTCAAGTTCCCAAGCGGTTGTGAGAGGATGTTTTTACTGAGGCAGGTGGTTTCTTACTGCTCTCTGATCCCATCTTCTCAATTGCTAGGACATGAGGCAGGATATGAGGTACTTTTTTAACAAATGACTTGGGGAAATATTTGTCTAAATAGTCACTGAGATGTGAACATTGTGTAGTCTGTGTGCTCTGGGAAACCTGTTAGAAAAGTCCTACTGGGGTGCACCAGAGGAAACCAGACATTAGTGTCTGAGACTCAGAGGATGGCATTGGATGGTCCTTCTCGTACGTTTATTTTCTTTAGGTTCAGACTTGATGTAATTTATTTTTCTCAGGTTGGAAAGATGTATTAACAGACTAGAAAAGAAACTTTCTATCTTAAACTTCATACTTTTACATACATTTGCACAGCATAACAAAACAGAATTCCAAGAGAGGAACTATTAGTAACATTTTTGATCTGCCCCCCAGAAAGCTTTTTAGTATGTTGATAACTACAAATAAGGCTTCTTAGGAAACAATTTTCCAGTGCCTTTTTATTTTTATTTTTTTGCAACAGAGTGATATAACAGTATACTTTTATTTTGAACCAAGTAAATTAGAAAATGTTACAGTAAGGGTAATTATTTCTGTATCAATTTCTATGTGCTCTTTGAACTTTTTAAAATGATTTCGACCATAACGTATTCTACCAGTAAGGAAGAAATGTTTTCTATATTAGTTCAACTCTTTTATTATTCTTTTATCAATCAAAGACAATGGTAAGTTTAAAGAGAAGTTGAGCAAAGGTATGTGTCTTAGCCTATTTGTGTTGCTATAAAGGAACACCGGAGGCTGGGAAATTTATAAATAAAAGAGGTTTATTTAGCTCATGGTTCTGTAGACTGTACAACAAGCATGACATTGGCATCTGCTTCTGGTGAAGGCCTCAGGCTGCTTCCACTCATGGCAGAAGGTGAAGGAGAATGTGCAGAGATCACAGGGCTAGAAAGGAAGCAAGAGAGACAAGTGAGGTACCAGGCTCATTTTAACAAATGAGATGCCAGGCTCCAGGAAACTATGACAGTGGTAACTCACTCATTACCAAGAGGACAGCAGCTAGCCATTCATGAGGGAAAAAAACCCCATGACACAAACATCTCCCATTAGGCCCCACCTCCAACATTAGGGCTCAAATGTCAACATGAGGTTTGGAGGAGTCAAATATCCAAACCATAGCAGTATCTCAGGTATAACGGCATGAAAAGGATAACCCACTTTCTAAGATGACCCAAGTAGACATTGTAATGTGTAGGGAGATGGGCAGCTGATGGAATAAAACTGACAGGATTTGGTTGACTTTTTTACTTCTGTCAATACATTAAACTGCTAAAAAGAAGAAACAAATCTCACGTGAAGAGCAAGAGGGAGGACTAAGAGTATAATCAGTTTCTTCTGTAGCGTTATTTACTTTTATGTGCTGAAATTCTTGCACATGTTTTGTGGCATCTTTCTTTATTTTCTTAATGGTATTCATCCTCCAAAACATTCAGCAAACTGGAGAGCTCTTCGATTGAACCATGTAGATTTGTGATCTCCAATTAGGCTTAACAACTTAGAAAACCACACAAAGTAAACTGCTTACTCATTCTTACTGGTTTCCATTAAATAATCTGAAGGTGAATGGGAACATATGTAAATTTCCTAAAATTAAAAAAAAACAAGTTATATCTCTAAGTCTCATTCAGACAAGTTTCTTATGTACCTTCATTTGTTTAACCAATGTGATTTTATCCCGTTATTATCTTGCCATCAAAAATATTTAATTGTGGGGAAAAGCAATTGGTATTACCCTGATCACTTGTTTGACAATTTGCTCTAATGGAAATATGTGTGTGTATTTGTATTATGAACCTACATATGTGTGTGTACATATACACAAATACAGATGCATGACTTTGCATATGTATTATTTTATATAAAATTATGCACACAAAATCTATACCTGAATTTGTCCTGAAATGAAGTGACTTTGTAGACTCGGCAACTTAAGAGTTTTATTATAGTACATTTTACCCTACCTGCACATTTCTTGCTAGTTTCTCTCCTAGAAGTTTCTTCAAAACCAAGAAGCAAAACTTAGAAAAGAACAGAATGAAAAGAGAAGAAAAACTATTTAGAGAAAGGTTTAAGGTACGTTCTCTTCTCAAGGTAAAAATTAGCAATATTAACAGCTTGGAGCTTTCATTAAAAAAAAAAATCTGTAAGTATGCTGTGCCTTTGCCTCTCTGAGATACAGACATTATCTTTGACACAAAAAGCCAGCATTTCATTCCTATTTTTTCCTGATACATTTCTATATTTTTATGTCTGTACATGCTATTCCTTCTTCCTGGAAAAACTACTAAGTTGTTCTTGAAGGCTCTGTTCAAATGTCACCCACTCCTCCCTCTCTCGTCCAGGTTGTTACTCCTTCAGCACATTTTGTATATCTATTTTACACATGTCTTTTATAACACTGATTTGTTGTATTAAAGCATTTGTGTGTGTGTGTGTGTGTGTGTGTGTGTGTGTGAATCTTGAACTAATTAATCTCTTGAGTGCTTTTTGAGAAAGAAACCCTGTCTCATTCAGGTTTGTTCCCCAGGGCCTGACATAAAACTGTACAGACAGTGTTTGGTAAATGAATGCCTAAACAAGCAAGCAAATGAATAACAAAATGAACAAATGAATGACGCAGCATCCGAAGCTCTCTGCCTTCTTATTCTGTTATTAAGAGTCCATGGAACATTTTTTCATTATTCTAAAGCTCAACCTTCCCTGATTTCATATATTGTCAAAGTGACGATTATTAACTATGAAACATACTGAGCACCTTCCATGTGCTAGACACTGGATTGAGAGAGGCAAAGTGTGCATCCTCCTCATAAAATTTATCTAAGTCACTATACAGCCTAAAATTTTTCAAAAATTCCCCCTTGCAAAATGTTTAAAGTTTAGGCTTCCTAACATGACACAGAAAGCTCTTTATGTCCTGACCTTTGCATATCTTCCTGGCTTTATCTCTTGCCACTCTTTGCGTTGCACTTTCTGCTTTGGCAACAAACTGCTCATAGTTCTGTCCCTTGAATGAACCTCCACCTCTATCTTTGTCTTGCTATTTCATCCCTCTAAGTGCTTCCTTGGTCTATTCCAACTATCTGGTACACCTTTGAACTTTTCTCCATCTGACTAGCTCTTATTCATTTATCAAGCTCCAGTCGAGGGATCTCCTCTTCTCCAGGAAGACTTACCCAAATCTTCTAATTAAATAAATTACTCTTCTTCCGTTTACTTATATACTTGAGCAATCTCTAGCTTATCACACATTAACAAAATTGGAATTACATGTTCATCATATTAAACTATGAGCTCCTAGAGGACAAAGGTTATTTTATATATGTTTATATCCATGTGCAGAGCAGAATAAGGTTGCTCAGCATTTTGTAAACACGCATAAAATATTTTTTAAATTGAACTAAAATAGGAATATACACAAATCTCTCATAATCACTGATAATTCCTGTTTGAACCAAAGCTGATTGGGGTTACTATATCTAGAAATTGTGATATGTTAGTATCTACTACAACCCTGATGTTATTTGATTAATTGAAAAACAACCATGAGGCAATCACTTGTTGAAAAGACCCTTATGTTCCATCCAATCCTTTTTTCCCTCTCCGTGTGTTTTTGATTGTTTCATGTGGGAAAGATATTCCATTTCCTGTATATGTGTATAATTCCATTCTTATTACCTGTAGTGGGTTTCCTTGATAGGCCATTTCAATAATTTTTATCCAGCTCAAATCATAAAACATTGGATAACTCATTTGTGCCAGGCACTGAGGGTACAAAGATGAATAAGACTGTCTACTATTTTCACTTGATAAGACAGTATGTTTATTAAATTATATAATAGGAATAGATATCAAGTATAGTTAAGAGACAGTAAATTTTTATATATGGCAGTCATAACAGTTTTCATGTGAAGTGGTTAAGAGAAAGAAGAGTATTTCAAGTAAACAGCATGTATTCAAGGATTGTCATGTAGCTTGATGCAGCTTCAGTAAAGAAGACAAAGATAGAGGGATGGAGAATGGCAGTATACAAAGGAGCCCGAATGTCAAGCTAAGCAGTGTGGATCTCATCCTGAAAGCAATAAGGAGTTTTTAGAACTTTATAAATAGAAAGGTGACCTAATTAGATCTGTATTTTAAGAAATCACTATGAATTCACAGTGAGCAATGGCCTGTAAAGGATAAAAAAGCCAGTAAGGAAGCGATTGTTTTGTTAAGTAAAGGAAAAAATCTATCTTGTAGATCTGATCTCATTTGTTATAGGTTGATCTTGTAATTTATCATCCAAACACAGGACACTTCTAAGAGTGGGAGGAGGAACTCTTAATCATAACAAAAAATAGTTATAGATAGACATATTAGTTATAAACAGACAATATCCTGGGCAAAAGGAGATATTTGGTCACACTAATTTGGAGAAGTAGGTACCTGTAATCTAAGCTATGTATTCTGGAACTATCTGTTTGTGGTCAACAGATTTCAGTGCATTAGAAGGTGATGTGCTGCAGATGTATAGGTCAGTATGTCAGGAAAAGATTCCCAAGGTCAGGACTTGAATTTCTCAGGAGTTTTTAACAAAATGCCTGCCTGCCCGTGAATACAAAAGGAGAATGGGAATTGCCCCCAACTGGGTACAGCCAATTCCCACTACTTTAAAATAACATGTAGTATAGCTATATATAAGAATACATAAGCTCACACAGAGAAAAAGCATGGAAAGAGTATCATCTAGAAATGATAGGTATGTAAGAATATTATAAACTTTAAGGCACTACACAGAAGTTTTAGTAATGGAACAGTTAACTACCATCCATGGTGCTTAATTCATACCTACGTTACAACCTCATCCAGCAGGGCTCATTCTAGTACAATTAAGTAATGGTTGTGCACACACTGGGGTCTGTCTGGGGATAGGGTATGGGGAGGGAGAGTATTAGAAAGGATGGTTAATGCATACTGGGCTTAATACCTAGGTGATGAGTTGATAGGTGCAGTAAACCACTATGGCACACATTTACCTATGTAACAAACCTGCACATCCTGCACATGTACCCCGTAACTAAAAATAATAATTAAAAAAAAAGATTTGAGAGAAAAAAAATAATGGTTGTGAAAATACTTTGAAAATATAATCATACCAAACAAATGTGAGATTGCACCATTTTACTATTATTTTCTTAAATGACTTTCCTTTAACTGTATACCTTCCTATTTTCTATTCCCATATGTGTTATTTAACTAGTCAATAGTATCTGGAGTTTATTTTGAGGTTACTATATTATATCCTCCATTAGTTTTGTTATGAAAAATAACTATGCAAGAATGGTCTGATTAGTAATTTCTCATTTCAGTACAATAAAGAGATTATTGTCATCAACACAGCAGTGGCCTGTTCCAAGAATTCAAGAAATGGAATATTTGATTTGCCAATAAGTCCTGGAGAAGAACTGGAAGTCATTGATACCACCGAACAAAATCTAGTGATATGTCGTAATTCCAAAGGCAAATGTAAGTTTATTTGCTTATTTTTCATAACATTTCATTGTTTTTAAAAAAATCTTAAAGCATTTTCTCTGTAACTTTCAAATTAACGGTGATTTTTCTTTCTATAGATGGATATGTGCTCATTGAACATCTAGATTTCAAGTAAGCTGTTTGATTTTGTACTTTAAATCATGAGTTCCTAATACCTTGTTGTATATATTAGTCTCAAGAGAAGACTACTGAATCTATTGAAATTCAGGATAAGTTTTAAAAATTAGACATGCAGTACCCTATTCTATAAGGATCATGTTGGAAGATACTTTATTATTGTCTCTTGTGACTGTGCTATCAAACTTCTCTACACAGCTTTATCAACATTTTAAAAGAACACAAACATATTAAACTAGATCAGAAATTCCCTAGAAATCTCCCACTCAACTGTTTCATTGTCCTATATTTTTAAATGTTTGCATATTTTTCTTTTTTCTCAGGCATCAAAGTTGGTCACCTTAGAAAGATCACGGTCAAATGTTACGGACTGCACAAGGGAGAACTAGTCCTAAGATCCTAGTCCTGCCTTACATCAGTTTCAGTTTACATGTCAAAATTTTAGAGATGGTGGAATCTGTGGAAACTTTCGTTCTGAACTTAAAAGAGAAAAATAAAAACAAATCCTCAACATTTAGATGTTGGTTTTACTCCTAAAAGGTTATCTTTCAATGTCTATTTCAGTATCTACTTCACTGCCAGTTCAAGAGAATGTGAAACAGTATGTGTTAGCATTTGAGCACTTATTTAATGAGCCATATCCAAAGTTAGAAATCATGCCTTATGGCACCTAGTCAGTTGTGCAGATGGTTGGTTTGCTTCTAATATTAGCACACGAGCGTTTGTAATTTCTAGATGTTGTGCATTCAAATTTGGTATAATTTAATTCTGAACAGTAAACAGTAAACAGTGTAACCAAGGTCTTTTAAATACTCAAGTTTAAGGTATAATCTTAATTATGACTCAGTCTTTAAAAAGGTATAAATGTCCTTTTACTTTATCACAAAAATAAACTCATATGAATACTGTTCCACATTGGTTTCTTTTGGGAATAGTTTCTCAAAAAATAATTTATTCCTAAATTCACCCATCATTTTAAGAAGTGCCCAAATGTACTTAACAAAATAATATATATGCTGTCCACTTTAAAACATCTTTTTGTCCAAAATAAGAACAATTGTCATTATTTTGTCTATGCCCAAATAACTATTCAACTAATAGCATTCATATGTACTTTCATTTATATGGAATTAAATAAAAATTTAAAAACTGAGCTGTAATATCTATTCCATTTTTTAAATGGGGTGCACTGCATGTCAAGAGAAATAAATTCTACATATGCATTTAACAGTTTCAAATTTTTAAGTGGCTTTTTCAGCACAGAAAAACTGAAGAATTTCACTCAGTTCTTTAAGCAGGGTGATTCTGGCCTTCACAAGTGTGATGGAATTTGTTTCCATGGCCTTGTTCTTTATATTGAGGCCACTTTTTAAGCTTCTAGGTTCTTTTATTTTCCTTTGCATGTTCCAAATGACATTTGCCAATAAAGGCCAAGCTTATTCTAAAAGACACGAATCAAAGATATTCAAAAAGTTCAGACTTTAGAGAAGGAAATCTGTAGAGATTATTACAAATAACATAATTAAACAAGATATCAATGGAACAGCTAAAGGATTAAAAAATGTTTTACAGAGAAGGTAACACTGAAGCTTGGTCTTTAAATATGTTTATTTATTAGACAAGGCACAGATGGAAGATCCATGCTCGCTTTGGTGATTATGAAGAAATTCATAGTAAATGGAGTGAAGAATGTCTGGTGGGAAATGGCAAGAGCTGCTTGCAATGGGGCAAAGTGGGGCTAGAATGTGACAGACTTCACTTGTACCTTTTCCTCTAGAGATTAAGGAGTCATTTAAGGGTTAAGCAGGAAAAAAATGTCAGTTATTTGGGGGATAGGAAGAAAATGCCAGATATTTGGGGGATGGGAAGCAATCACCAATATGGATAATAAAGGAGAGGTGAATTGTTTTTGCAATATTCTAGGCAAAAGGCATTATACCTTAAGACAGCAGCAACAGAAATATATGGTACAGGAGCCCCATTAGAGGTATTACAGAGGTAAAAGAGAATGTCTTGGTGACTAATTAGATGTATCGGTGAGAGAGAAGGAGAATTAGGGAATGGCTTTGAGACTTCTTTTCTGGGAGATGAAATGAAGGCTTGTACTAAAGATTGGAAATATATTTCTGCTTAGACTAGAGACCAAACTCTGCTTGGACCCCCTGAACTAAAACTATTACCCAGTGAGGGGCATTTGCAGCCCTCTTCTGCTCTCCAGGAACATAACTGTTAGAGTAGGCATTGTAGAAGACAAGGCTAAGTATGGTCTGTGGGCAAGAAGAGTATATGACTATGCTGAGCAGAAATCTTTCATGCAATAATCCTGTCCAACAGAGAATCATATACCATACATCACTCTTGCCACTTCACCAAGCCACTAAGCATTTTAAATCTTGGAGTGACAGCGGGACTAAATTTGAACTCAGATAGGTTTGTTCCCTGCACTTTCCACCTCATTACATGGTCCCTTGTTTTAATTTGACTCAGCTCTTTACATCTCAATTTCCTCATTATTTAAACAGGGCTAGGCTGGGCACAGTGGCTCACACCTGTAGTCCCAGTATTTCGGGAGGCTGAGGTGGGCAGATAACTTGAGGTCAGGAGTTCGATACCAGCTGGCCGATATGGTGAAACCCTTTTTCTACTAAAAATACAAAAATTAGCTGGGTGTGCTGGTGCACATCTGTAATTCCAGCTACTCAGGAGGCTGAGACAGAATCGCTTGAACCTAGGAGGCAGAGGTTGCAGTGAGCTGAAATCACGCCACTGCACTCTAGACTGGATGACAGAGTGAGACTCCGTCTAAAATAATAATAATAATAAACAGCTAATAACTCTGATCTTATCTACTTCACAGGGTAGTTGTTATGCTACAATGTAATAATATAAAAGTAATCTAAAATTCTTAATACACACTATGGTATTAGTGGTGTCATTTTTGTACCTGGCTTTTTCTGAAGTTGGAAGATGCTGAAAACAAAAATACATTTTTAAAATTCAAATTGTACGACTTGATAGAATGGCTGTTAAGTAATTTTTTTGCGTAGACAGAAAAACGTTCAGTGTTAAAAGCCTATTAAATAGCATATACTGAAGAATAAGCTGTTTTGTCTAATATAAACTAGTACTTACTATTTATTGATATGGTATAGGTTTTTAGAAAAAAATGATTGTTTTTCTATCCTTTCTATCCATACTTAATGCAGTTATGTTTCTATTTCACTAATATCAGTCCCACTTCCTCCATTCTTGGAATCAAAGCATCAAAAATATATTTCTCACATTATTAATCTGCAAGATTTCAAAATGTAAATACCATGACTAAGACTTCAGTGATATTCTAAGCAGATGTCATCTGTCTCCCAGAAACCCTGAGCATAAAGCTTCAATGGAAAGACTAAGTTTACATTTTATTTTCAATTTTGTATAAAAATAAAGATAATGGCATCATCAGATAAAAGGCAGCATAATAAAGCACTTTACTGTAACAGAGGCTTAACACTGGCCTATTCATAAACTCATTGATATATACGCCAGGCCCTCCAGCAACCTTAAGATGTCCCAAGACCTCCCTTCCCACTTCTGAGTTCCTCTGTGATATACTCACTCTTCTAAGATTTCTAAGATTGCACAGCAACCTTCTTGACCAGGCCCTCTCCTGCAAATCTTCAAAACTTTTTAAAGTATATTCTAGGGGGAAGAAATGGAAGAGGAAAAATATGAACATATAATAACAAAACTAAGAAGTAGCTGCCTCTTATTATGGGTGAGATTCTTCTCAGATTTTTAAAATTTCCTTCACTTTTCAAATTTCCTATAGGAAGCATCTATTATCTATGCAATTTAGGAAATAAAACATATTTTCACTAATAAAAACGAATCCGTTCTTTTCCTTCAAGTTTAGAAAAAGCGAATTGAAATCTTTACCTGTATATCCTGATTTCAATATGTTTGCATTTGTCTTTTTCATGAGGGCTAAAGTCTGTTTTTCAAAAAGCATACAGTCCAGGTGGGCCCACCTTAATCACATGAGCCCTTAAAATTTGAAAATGGAAAGCAGTAAAGTCAGTCTCAGCAAATCAGAAACATGTCGTTGAAGAGAAGGAAGAAGAGATCCAAACCATAAGCCACTTGTTGCTGGTTTTGAAGATGAAGGGAGCCATGGGCCAAGGAATGATGATGGCCTCTAGAAGCTTTAAATGATTCCTAGCCAACAGCCAAAAAGGCAACAAGGACCTCAATCCTACAGCAGCAAGGAACGAAATTCTGCCAACAACTCAATGCAATTGGAAACAGATTCTCCTCCACAGCCCAGCCCTATCAATACTTTGGTTTCCAGCTTGTGTGACTTGAGGCAGAAAAACCAGCTAAGCCTGCTGGATTTCTGACATATAGAACAATAAGATAATTTGTACTTTAAGTTGTTAAGTTTGTAGTAATTTGTTACAGCAACAGTAGAAAACCAATGCAATAGCTTAAGTTAAAAACTATAATGTACAACTAAGATGACAAAAATGGACAAAGATGGTGTGAAATCGCCAATGAGTATAGGCAATCTTTTCCACTAACAACTTTCTTGTAACTATTAATTGGCGTGCAGAATACCAGCATAATGATGGAGCAGAAACAAAAATAGCTTTCAAATGAACCAGAGACTTTAATTTGATTTTGTGAAAAAAACTTATAAGCAATCAGGCTGCTTTTCTCTTTTGTGTTTGTTACCTATGAGTTTCATACAGTGCAAACATTAATTAGGAAGAATCTGTAACTATGAAATGCTATGTAAGTCAGAAAAACATCTTTTCCATATGGTTACTGTAAGACAAATCCTTCCCATATCATTTAACACTCACAAAAAGTATATAACAAACAAAACTGAAATTTGAATCGGAGATTATTTGAAAACAAAAGCACTGGAAGTCTGTTTGTTTGTTTGAGAAGGAGTCTCACTCTGTTGCCCAGGCCGGAGTGCAGTGGCGCGATCTCCGCTCACTGCAAGCTCCGCCTCTCGGGTTCACGCCATTCTCCTGCCTCAGCCTCCCGAGTAGCTGAGACTACAGGCTCCCGCCACCGCGCCCGGCTAATTTTTTTGTATTTTTCAGTAGAGATGGGGTTTCACCATTGTAGCCAGGATGGTCTCAATCTCCTGACCTCGTGAATCACCCGCCTCTGCCTCCCAACTCTCAAAGTGCTGGGATTACAGGCGTGAGCCTCCGCATCCGTCCTATTTTTTCTTGAAACCAATTATAAAAAGTGGTCCCAATTTTAACAATTAAAAAATTTTTCAATAAATACGTAATGAAGTACTCCAATGGGTCAATGTATCAACCTATTGATTTTTTTTTTTTCTTTTTCAAAGGTAGGCTAAGAATGAATGAATGCAGGATGTTTTTGAAAAAAAAGTAAATATTATATCCTATATTATGATTGTCATGACACAACCTAATGGCTGTTAATTTTCAGTTTTATTTGTTGCACTCAAAATCCACTGTATATTTAAGCATACATGACAAAGAACACAACCATTCTTCTTAAAATAATAAAGATACTATCCTTAGAGTTCACAGTTCTGTAACAACTTTACATTAAATGTTCAAAACATTGTACAACCACAGATATTTGTGAACAGTCTTGAGAGCTGTATTTTGGTACGTTAAGGCAGCTCCAGCCAACATTTTAAGAGATTCTGAATATTTGTTACAACACAGGACAAGTTTGATATTTGAATACTTGAGGTCTCAAGAAAGACTAAATGTCACCTAAGAACACCACAATTTGTGAAACTGTGATCTTACCTAAAAATCAAGATACTTATCAATATCAAAGATACTTATTTTTTTAAAAAAAGGAATTTACATTGAATGTGGGGATATAAACCCTGTATTTAAACAAGGGCTTCCAAACAGTTGCTCACACACATCTGTGAGGTAGGTTATCATCCACATTTTGTAAATGGAAAAACTAAATGAGGTTATGTGACTTGCTGCTGCTTCAGCAGCCAAAGGAAGAAACTGATTCCAAGTTAGATTTTGTTCTTAGCTCTGAGTTGTTTCCTTGACAAACTTTTTAAAGGGTTAAAATATAAAAACTGCCATTCATTGCATTAATTTTTAAAGCATAAGAAGGTAGCCAAATGTTATGTTTACCAATGTGACTTATAAAGTCAATCAACATGAAAGAAGTAGGGAAATACATTTAGTGAACAACTTCTGATAGTGATAGTGAGAGGCTGGACCAAGGAACTCAATCAGGCAGATGCAAACATGATCATTTGTAGGAGGCAGATCTAAGGAGAACTGAGAGGGATTAGAAAAAAAGAAAACATAGTTTAAACAAGTTTTACTATTACTCTTCTTATAATTTAAGGGAGAAGGCACAATTTAGTGTTTTGTTTGTTTGTTTTTTAGAACAGTGGATCTCTTTCTTTTCCACTTTAGGAAAATGTTATCTGTCTAGAAAAATTGCTATTTTTGATAGCAAAACTTATTTTAAAGAAATATGTAACTGTGAAAAATGCACGTTTAAATTAGTAGAAAAAAATTAACAGTGCAATTCTCCTTGGCTAGAATGTTTTTGTTCCTCCTTGAAATTTTAAATCAATACGAAGCAGCAACCCCCCCTGCCCGCCTCAAAAAAGGTCACACTGTGTGCACTGTGTGAACCTTGTCAAAATTCTATGTATTATTCAAAAACGTTTTTATGCCAGGATATTCTCCAAATTCTTACTTTTTTTCTGGAGAGTGCTCTATTCTAGGATTTAATTACACTTTAAATGTAATTGAAATTTACCTACCCTGCTTGTCCAAACCATCAAGAGCCACTTCCATAAAATCTAAACTACTTTAGATATAAACTATTTTTACCAAAAGTCACACACATAGTCACAACTGCAAACTGGCATTGCTATGCAAGGCTGGCAGTAAACATTAACATTAGCTTGCAAAATTAATACAGGCCTACAGTCTGATAACTCTTCTAGACCCAGCCTGATTCTTATCAGGCTATGGCTGAAGAAGTTTAATTAAAACTCAATCCAGTCTAGACTGTGAGACCTGTTCTTTGTGCTATTACTGTTCAGTGGCATCAAATGCATCATAATTATAGGTGGAAAGGCTAGTAAGGATGCCAGCAACTTGTTTAAAAGAAGTTTTTATAATTTTTAAAGCTCAAACATAAGTACGTTACAAAATTTTATAAGGTTTGGGAGAAACTCTATCAAGCTAATAATAATTCAGTGTTTATAAATTAGAAAAGTATTCTATGAAAATAGTTATATCATCTAATATACATACAAAATGAAAAATTATCAATCTGCATATGAAATTTGGATAAGACTATTTCAGATAATAGTCAAAAACTATAACAATTTAGACAGGGACTGAAGCTACTTTTCTTTTTCGTTTTTTTGAGACAGACTCTTGTGCTGTCACCCAGGCTGGCATGCAGTGGCATGAACTTGGCTTATTCCAACCTCTGCCTCCCAGGTTCAAGAGATTCCTGTGCCTCAGCCTCCCGAGTAGCTGGGATTACAAGCAGCCTGCCACCACACCGGATAATTTTTGTACTTTTATTAGAGACAAGGTTTCACCATGTTGGCCAGGCTGGTCTCAAACTCCTGACCTCAAGTCATCCACCCACCTCGGCCTCCCAAAGTGCTGGGATTATAGGCATGAGCCACCATGCCCGGCCTAGTTTTCCATCTTGAAAAATGATTGTGCTATAAGAATCACATAAAATTATGAGAAGAATCATGTCTTAAAGTTTCTTCAGTATTTTTAAGCACCCTCAATAACTTAGAAATACTTATAAAAACCAATATGCTAATCATAAATATTTCAGATAATTACATCTTGTTAGTACAATCAACTGGTTAAAATAAACTAAGAACTATTTATTTAAGACTACTTTATGTCACTCTAAGACTTGAAAGCAAAACATCTGTATTTATTTTTATTACTCAACCACTCTGATGTTTTATTAATTCAGACTGTTCTTCCCCAGAGGAAAGGTGGTTTCCTATAAAGAGCGATTGATCACTGCTGGATACTTGTATGGTGTTAAAGCTTTATGACGAGCTTTCTGGTCCTGCTTCCTCATCTGGAAATGGCAAAAATGCTTTCTCTGGTTTCCTCCCAAAGTTACTGTAATAGTAAGTAAACAATGTGAAGGGTCTCTAGATCGAAAAATCACTATAAAAAATATATGGAACACTTTCATCACTCCAAATTTGTAACGCTTTGCTTCATGCCAAATGGACATGATGTTTCACCATGTTTGGATTTCTAGATGATTTTTGCCATTTGCATTTCTCTGGCAGCTGTATTTAGAAAAATATTCAAGTATATACCTTTGACATGCCTCACCAAATCAAAACAGAAACATTCACACTAGTATAAAAACTCTAAATATATAAAAAGTGAACACTAACACAAATCATATGAAAAAGCAGAAAAGAACTTTAAAGCTCAAAAGTACCTTAGAAGTGTTAAAATCTACCTCTCTCATTTTAGGAGTTATAAAAATGAGGCCAAACATAGGATGTGACTTACCAACAGATTGCACATATCCCTCATCCAGAGTTTTTAGTAGAGTCTTTGAGAACTACTATTAAAATAAATTACATTTCCTATTTTAAAAGCCACAGGGTGACACAGGAGAACCAAGTAAATAAATGCAAGGTTGAAAAGGTTTGGGTCTTTAAAAACAAATAAACAAAAACAGACAAAATTGTGAACATGTCTAGCATTTAGATACTGAGATTTTACAACCATTAATAGGATGTAAATTATTAACCAGTGAATAGACAAAGTGGTGTCTGTGGCAGGCATGTTCCAGGTTTTTACATTTTATAAATGGAAAGTGAGATGCCTACATTAACTCAGTATACTGCACATTATTCGATGCTACAGATAAATCCAAATAGATCAAAAATCTATAATAGTTGTTTATGATTATTTTCTAAACTATGTCTCATTTAACAAAAAAAACCAATTTGTATTCCCTGAGTACAAACTGGCTAGGGAATAAGAAAAAGCAAACCCAGAATTATAAAACTGAAAAACCCATTTGCAGAAAATGGAGAATTGTTTGTGCTACATATAGCCAATACCTTGACATAGAAACACGATTATTTCTGATTTAGGCTCCTGGATTCTTTTTATAGATCGCTAGTATAAAGGAATGTAAACACTAGAGATTATAAAAGCATCTCCTAAAAGGTTAATCATAACAAAAACCCAACTTGCAAATGGTTTGCCTACTTCCCTCCCTGCGTATTCTATTTGAGAAGGTAGCTGTTCCTACATTGAAACATAAGGAATTAGATCTTCATATGGTATCCCAAAGAAAAGTATTTAGAAGATGTTCACTGACTACACATTTTAAAAGAATCAGTGATGATTCATTACCCACAGAGCCATAAGCATGAGTCACTAGTCTCTTAGACTTTTTTTTTTAACAAGTAATCTTGTTTCAGGTTTTTTAGTCACCCATTCATAAGAATAATGTTGCACTCAAATAATAACACAAGATGATTAAGAAAACCAAGATGTCATGAAACAAGTCACAGACATAGAAAATTCTATTTAATCCAGCATTCACTCATGATGAACATGTCTGCAAGTTAAAACAAAATGATTCTAATTTTCAATCAGACTCTCCCAACAACCAGTAAGAGAAAAGGAAGTGTTATTAACTACCCTGATTATGGCATTCTGGGACAATATTTTCCTAAAAAATGTATTTCCCAAATTTGCCTTTTTTCATGGGATATTAAGTTTTTTAAAATGAAAAATTAATTTGGGCAAAGTTCAACAGTTATATGGCTTTCTTTTTTTTCACAGAAAGACCTGTCAGTCTTTAATGCTGACATCTACTGTCATCTTCGAGGGGAAGAGTAGCATGCAACATTTTTCAAACTTAGCCCATGCAATCTTTTTTCTGTGGGGCATCTCACAGGATATACTTTGGGAAATGCAGTTCTAGAACTACATGGAGTTCATTTCCATGATATAACTAAGGCCTTATCTATAACCTAATAATAGAAGCTCTTCTCCTGAGTTTTAACTGGAGGAAATTATTCTTAGCCCACACTTACCTACCACATCCAGAGTTTACAAGACTGAAATGTGGAAATTTGGGGTTAACAACTGATTCTTTCCCTCTATCTGCCCATGAGCAACAAAAACACCTGCTGTAACAATGTTTTAGCTCTAATTGTGCTGGACTGCGTCTCCTGAAATCTTCTCTCTAAAACCCAACCACCTAGATTCACAAAATAGCTGTTTTAAAAACATACACATAAAAGAACCCAAACTGTGACCATTAGTTCTCCTAAAATTCAGTAGGTAAATATCAAACTACAGCTGTTCATAAATACCGGCAAGAGTTAGAAAACAGTAAATAAATTAACTCTTACAAAACATGGCAATCATCCATATAAGGTAATTTTGATATGAACAATTTTTTAATATCTGATGAGACTAATGGAGCTAAAACACCACTGGATTCCTTCTGTTTCTCTGCCTTCAAAATTTTTGTGGATTTTGTCATTAGGGTTAAGTAATCTGATTAGTTCCTTATTTCTAAGGTAATTCCATTCATAATCAGGACAATATTATGAAGTGGCCCTGGTTTTCCCAAAACAGGTGTGTGCCCATTTGGAGAACCCAAAATATGCCATATCTATAATGCACATCAGACTAACACAGCAGGACTGCTTATCTCTATACAAATAATCACAGCATCTCAAAGGGTAAAAATTACCCTTTGGTGCCACAAGATGGCAGTATTTCAATAATTAAACTTTAAACTATCTCAAATTGCAACCCGCCCTCATTCCCAAATTGGTGAACGATTCTTTTATTTTGATATTAAGAAGTTGGACTTATAAGTTACTTAACATCAGTTTTTAAAAGATCTGCAAAGCCATATGATGTGACACAATGCAAACTCCTAATTCAAAGAATATTTAAAGATAGACACACTTGTTTTCCACTAACACAGGAGTAACTTAGTCTAATATTCTCATTTGCTTCTTGGTAGAACATACATTACTTTTGTCAAAGAGAAACCTGTCAAGGTAATGTAATTTTTTTGTTTTCAAGAGCTTAATGTTTTTTAGGGTAATCCAGGTAAATAAGTGTTAATTACAACATAAAAATAACAAATAAATACAAATTAGATAAATTACACATAATTTAAAATTAAATACTTTTACTAAAACAAAACAAAATATAATCATAAACTATTATCTACCCTGCTATAGTTTGTGTTTTTTTAATCTTAAAAAAACCTGCACAAAGCAAAACAAAACAAAACAAAAACTGGTTTTTGCTTAAAAGCACTGGTGTGTGAATACACATATTTATTTATTGAAGAGAAAAATTTTTTCTTGATGTTCAAAGCTTCCCTGCCCTATCAGGTTCAACAGTGAAGGTCATAGCCTATCAAGCTTTGGAAGTGTACGAAAGCCCTTAGGGCCAGAAGAGTGTTTTCAAACTTGGAACTAGAAAAGATTCAAAGCTGTACCCACCAACCACTGAGGATCAAACAATGAACAAAGACAAGAGTGACTAGGATAGGTGGGGTGAAGGGAGTGGCTTGCCATGAAGAATCAGCATTATGAGATGCACCAGGACCCTAACATCTAACACACAAAATAAAGATCAAAGATAATTCTCATTTAAGGGACTGTTGATACCTTGCTTTTTTTCATTTAACTATTTTATCACTGTTTGGTGAAATGCAAAAATAAATAGAGCCAAAAGAATTTGAGAAAGGTAGGTTTTGAAGACATTTTTTAAAAGATGTAAGTATATGTAAAAGACAAAAGTTGTTGCAATTCCAGGTGTTCCAATACTAATTTGAAACTCGAATGCTCTTAAGATAAATATATTATTCAGGGAAATCTCAAGATAAAATACTGAGTCAGTTACAGCTGCTTTTAAGAAACCTGAAAATTGTGGTTACCTGTGACATGACCACAGTCCTTCTGTTGAATATACTAGGCAGTATTTGTAAAAATACTGTTAAAAGAACTTGGCTTCTGAAACCTTGGGGGCAGGTTTTTAAGATTTCAACATTTAAATAATATCTTACTCGTGGTTCTTTTACTTTTTAATCTTCTTTTGTTAAAATAAATTGGGGGCATAAACACAGCATAAAGCCTACTGAAATTTAGGAAGTAAACTGGATTTACCTACACCAAACAGTAAAGCAAGGAGGTGTTGCCAAACCACCCTTACATTGAGATGGTTCGCCAGTGTGGTGTGTTAATCATCCGTAGTGAACTCATTATTGTAATTAAAAATCTTCATCGATATTAACCTATTAAAGATACTGCCTATGTGAATTTATCATAGGCACAATAGAATTACAGATTTCTACAAGTAAATAAGATGTCAGATATTTTGTTTTCAGTAATTTCAATAGCATTGTGTGTCCCCTGGATATAATTCATGTCTCTCAATTAGTATTGCAGTGGATATTATCCAAAAGTAAGATAAAAATTTAAAGAATATATCTGATTTTCATAGTGCAATAACAGAAAGAAACTAGAGACAGATCAACGGGCTAAAGTAGTAATCAGACTGGCACACATTTCAAAAAAATCCATGGTGTGACTGCCCAGGCGAGGTGAAACTGAAGACAATGTGCTTCCGGTCAAAGAGCCAGTGAGAGAGCCAGAAAGTGAATGGCTCTCTGCAGTTGTGGAATCAAAACTTGATCTTGGTCTGTGTAAGCCAGCAGCAGAACAGGAACGCTGAGGTGTTGAGGAACCAGACCTCTGCTCCACTACTTCATCTGAAATGGACCAAAGAAGAGCAATTTATATGAAAAGTATATATGCCCAAGCCCTTCCTATGAATTTATGATATTCAGAATATTAAGTAAACACATCTGAGCAAAGGCAACTTAATAATGAATGTCATGTTTCAGTGTTTTAGAAGCACAGTTCTCTTCCTTCCAACAATCATAACAAACATCGCTACCAATCACAACACGTGCACACAGCCAAAATGTGGCCTCTAAGTCCTTCTCAAATCGGAGTATTGGGCATTGATACTGGCATCAATCAAACTGATATCTCTTCATGTGAAGAAAGCGTATCCTTGACAACTTATTTTCTTCTAGCATATCAACAAAAAAAATCATTAAGGTAAAAATAAAAGTTACCATCATATATTGCCTTGGGGAAGTGGGGGGCAAAGTAAGAGAAATCTTGTTAAAACTGCAGATTCTACGATTCCCAGGACCAAAACACAGGGATCTGTGTTTTAATAACAACATGTAATTTCGATGAAAGAGGTCTGGGATCCATATAAACACTACCGTACATATTTGATGGTAGTTCAAGAGTAAAATTTAAATACTTTGTTTAAAACAACTTCCCTAACTCTAAACTCAGTTCCATTTTTGTTCCATCCAGCACCTGACCCTCGGTTTATTCTGGTTTTATCCCACTTGGGCCTCTGAAATGAATAATCAGATTTGGTTTACCCAAGTTTAATTCTTAGCACACACTAAGTTCTTGGACATGACAATTTTCCCTGACGCCTCTGGCTCCTTGATTGCCATGAGTACCTAAATCCAACCCAAATCCCAATGGAGACCTATTTGGTCACCCTGGCCACCCAGGATGAGGAAAGGTGATGAAGGGGAAAGTTTAGACACTACAATACTAACTAATAAAATATGAATGGAGAAATGTGACAAAGAATCTGACAAATCAGTTAATTTTAAAAAGTGAAACCTACTTCCCTATTGTTCCTTACTTGTGCTCCATGGCCAATACTTCAAATGATTCTTTTATGCCACGGAGATACTTCTTGTGGAAAGATGCCAGGTAAGAGGTATTCAACATGTCTTTCATCCTTTTCACTTCACTTACATTTTGGTTAAGTCTAAGATTACTTAAAAACCAGTGCATGACCTACCCACCGGATGTCTTCGAGATGATTTTAACATCTGGTCAACTAGTGCCAAGTTTTATCTTCTCAGAGCTCATGCAATGCATAGCTTCCTTACCATCAATGCTTTTAAAGTCCAAAAGATAGCTCCTGTTATCAACCAGGTAAAGTTGTAAGCTCATTTTCACGTAATTGCCAGTCACTGGATTTTTTCTTCTTACACGAAGATGGTATGCATTCACTACCTAAAGTGAAAAATCAATAAAAATAATCAACTACAAAATATCTCCCTTTTTATGCAAAAAAAGGTCAAAATAAGTAATTAATAGGGGTGAGGTAGGAAAGGAATATCTGAATAATTTTTTTATATTACTGGTAGTTTACTTTAGTATTTATTTAATCCCCACTAGCAGTATTGTATGGCAATTAAGATTTAAAGGAAAAGCTACTTGAATAAATTTGGGGTACTGAAGAAAAAAGTGAAATATAAAAGAAAAAGAGAACCCAGAGATTACATCGGGTCTAGCTTTCACTCTAGATAAGCATCAACTCTAAAACATCAATTATAATTTGGTTGCCCAGTCTCTGCTTGAACCATGTTCATGGATGCTTGTGGAGTAGAAGGAACAAAGAGGACCAGGCATGGTGGCTCATGCCTGTAATTCCAACACTTTGGGAGGCAAAAGTGGGTGGACTGCCTGAGCCCAGGAGCTTGAGACCGGCCTGGGCAACATGGTAAAACCCCATCTCTACAAAAGCATACCAAAAAAATCAGCTGAGTGTGGTGGCAGGCGCCTGTAGTCCCAGCTACGAGGGAAGCTGAGGTGAGAGGATAGCCTGACCCTGGGTTGCAGTGAGCCAAGACTGCACCACTGCACTCCAGCCTGGGCAATAGAGTGAGACTCTGTCTCAAAAAAACAAACAAACAACAACAACAAAACAAACAAACAAAAAAACACTGCATTGAAGGTTCTGGATTTTCAAAACATCTGTGGTACTAGTTTCAAAAATGTTTCAGTACAGAATTTTAAAAATGTTAACATTTCTTTTTTAACTAAATACGACTGCTTCAAAACAAAGAGATCTGTTTTTTAAATGATTTTAAGAAAATATTTATTTCATGTACAGATAATAAAATGAAAATGACTGATTTATTTGAACATGTCAAATGCATATTTATGTGGTAATTTTGCACATTTTTCTTCTTCCTTTAAAAGTTCACAATCCTCAAGAAAAGAACAAGAGTGAAAGGCATATCCGAAGAAAAAAATGCCCCTCCCCACACATATATTCAAATAGAACTGAAATGAAATTGAGCACTAATTTTTAAGAAAAGCAAACTGTGGCGTGAGAGTAAGGAAAATATACTATAAGTATTAAAAGCACTAGCCAAATAAGAGAGAATATCACAACTTGGAGAAAAGTGTTAATTGACTGAATAAATATGTCCTGATATAATTTGTACTGACCACTAGCTATTACAACCACCTGCCTCTGTTCCCTAAAAAGAAAAGAAAAAAAAAACCTCCCTAAAAAAAAGAGAAAGTAAAAACATACTATCTTTGAAGACACTCATGATTTTTCATTGCTATGATGTATGCTGAAACTGGTAAGCTATTTTCTCAGAAGGTTTCTAGTTGATTCCTTTTTTTCTTGACCAAGAACACTGCTATAATTCAAAATATGTTGGTTCCCAGTATCAACCACTTTTCATCCTTACAGAGGTTATTTGTTTTGTTTTTAATGTGCATGGCATATTACTAGAAAAAGATGGGCTTAATACTCAACTCAGGAGCTCAGAGCAGCTTACAATATAGAAAAATGACTTCTACAAATGATCTTATTACATTATAATTTCCTACCTTCCATTCAAAATCCAGCTGCTTCATAGCTCGGTAAACTTCAGCCATAATGTCATATGGTTTGCTCTGACTTCGGATTCCAAGATGCCACTTGGCTTTTTTCACGGCTAAAGATTTGGGCTTAGTCGTATTCAGTGCATCCAATGGACATCTTGCCTTGGGGCTGTCTGCTATAAGAGGTGGCATCCTTTCTGGATGAGGCTTCAGGCCTGGGGGAATATGCATGGCACTATCATCCATAAAAGAACCAGACGGAGGACTAGAGGCGAGGTAGAACTCACTGGCTTGGTTCATTATTCTCCGATTGTCAATGATAAGATGATAAGCCACTGCAAGCTGGTCTTGAGGGTCACCACTATATAAACTGTTCATTACTTCTGATTCTGTACATTCAAATTTTTCACACACTTCTTTCACAGCCTCATCATCAATGACGTTAGCATCATAGGAAGGGTCTTCAGGAAATAAGTAACTGGGCAAATCTTGTTTAAACCATTCATGCTCTCTAGGAAAAACACCACAATACACTATTGTAAGACACGCTTTGGCAAGTCCAAATAATTTAGACATAGGGCAACATAATAGAATATAATCAAAAGATCTGGTCTCTAGACCTAGCTCTGCCACTTACTAGCTATGTGATCCTAAGCAAGTTAATTACCCACTACCCTTGAATAACTATGGTTATTAAGACTTGGCATTTGGCCGACATTTTCTCAAAAATGAAAAAAGCGAGCCCATCGCTTTAAGGAAAACAACCAGCAATATTTGTTGCTAATGATAAAATTCAAGCTTTCAAGCAAAACTTTTGTATGATTTGTATGAGTTTCACAGCTTCTCAATACTTAAAGACTTTCTGATAAAGTTGGTGTTAATAATAATAAATACACTTTTTTTCTTTCCCAACCACTTATCTGAGTGAGGTCAGACCTTCTTTATACACTTCAACTAATACAAAATAATGCAACAGATTGAATGAAGAAGGTATGAGAACCTAGCTGTCTTTGATATAAAGTCATTCTTCTCACAATTTTTTTTGGAAAATATGGTGATTTTTCATGAAAGATGTATTATTTAACATGTAGTAGGTTTATAGTTATTTTTAAGTAAATTAAATATTTTCTTAATTTCTCAGTTTTAATTCTAATACAGTAAATATTGATAGATATAACCTGCATTTTTAAAAATTCCCCTTGAGGTCCTCAATAAGTTTTAAGAGTTACAAGATTTTAAAATCAAAAATTTTGAGAACTGCTCTCCTAAGCCTTATTTTCCCACACTTCTGGGCCTTTGCGCTTGATGTTACTATTGTTATCCTAGAATATCAAACTATTTTCATCTAACACAAACTACTCCTTCGAGATTGTTCAGGCATTACTACCTGGTAGAATTGGGCATCCCGTAAGTTCAGATGAAGACATATTTTGACTGAATGTCTTCTATTCACTGATTAATTTATTTTTGAATATTTACTGAGGACATACTATGGATAAAAAGAAACATTCCTCACAAAGATTATATTTTAGCTGAATAGAGATTAAACAAATATACATAAAATATAGTTACAAATATACAAATATGCAAATCCTGTGATAAAGATTGCAAAAGAAATTGCATAGAGTAAAATGAGAGTATATAATTTACAACGAGAGGCAAGTGATCAAGGAAGCCACTCTGAGTAATATTTAAGCAGACACTAGAATGATCTGAAGTCAATTATGCAAAGAGTTGCGGAACAGATATTCCCAGCAAAAGAAACAATATGTGCAAAGACCATGAGACAAAAAAGAGTTGTGCTGTGCTCTAGGAACTGGAATGAGCTCAATATCATGAAAGCAGAATGAGCTGTGAGATGGAGTGCCAAATGAAATCAGATATTTCTAAGAATTGTAGGCTATAAAAAGGAAATCTCATGATTTGAACTGGTGGTTGATGAAAATCATTGAAGGATTTTAAAGAGACAGGGTAACATAACCTAATTATCATTCTGTAAAGATCATTTTGTTTGTGGTATAGAAAATAAATTGAAAAGATAAAAATGATGATGGTGAAGCTAGTTTCAACAGTCCAAGTAGGAAATAATGGTGTGTCAGGCCTTGAGGATATGTACAAAGATAAAAATTCTACAGCTACTAGATTTTTCTATCACAATACATTCTTATAGTTGTTGATTTTTTTTCTAATCTTGCCCAGTAAACTGAGAGCTTCTTGAAATAGTGACCATACCTTATTTAGCTCTACCCTACTACCTAGTAAAGAGTAAATGGTCAATAAATTCTGCATATATGATAAATAAAGTATGAACACAAAAATTCATTCATGTGTTTATTGGCTATATAATAATATTAAGCCCCTATTAGTGTTCAGCAATAAAAATAACTTGAGATAGATCTTTCCTCTCTCCCTCTCTCTATGTATATATATATTTTTTGAGACAGAGTCTCACTCTGTCACTCAGGCTGGAGTGCAGTGGCTCAATCTTGGTTCACTGCAATCTCTGCCTCCCAGGTTCAAGTGAGTCTCCTGTCTCGGCCTCCTGAGTACCTGGGATTACAGGTGTGCACCACCACACCCAGCTACAAAAGAAGTAAAAGAAGACAAAAATATGTTACATGTCTAATATTTTGTAAATATCAATGACAAATAGAAAAGTTAGGCACTTTCAAAATAAACTCCAAAAATCTATTATTCCATAAAACAATAAAATACCAGCAAAAACTGTGAAAATCAACTTTGGAAATTCACCAAAGGCTTGCAACAATCTGAAGACGGTTTATTCAAGAAAAATGGCTGAATCTCAGTAAGAAATGTGAGATTTGTGGCTTTTTAAGTTGTCCTATATCCATTTCCCTTTGTCCAGCTCCATGGCAGCCTTGAAAACCAACAGCCTCATGATCACAGAGCTGAGAAAACAAGGAGCTTAACAACCACTGGGGCATTGGGGTGGGGAGAACAGAGGAGCAGAATAGTTTAGAGCTCCCTGAAAATCTTACCATGAGAGAACTGTCATTATTTTACATGTCTAGCAGTTCTCTAGGAACCTCCACTCACAAGCCTGGTTTTTACATGACCTGACTCACAGCTTACTCCTGCAAACAGCCTTCTCCCCAGGGCATTTGTTTAAAAAAAAAAAAAAAAATCAATGGCAACTGTCTAACATCCCAACTACCTGAAGCAGCAGTGAAAGTTGGGTAAACAAAAAGCTGACCAAGACACTTAAAAGGAAACATTAGGAAATACCATTTCCAGAGGGGTCTTTGGAAAGCTCTGATGTATTTCTAGGACTCAGAAAGGCCAGAAACAAATGCAGGGTTGTGTGTTTGCCTGAGAAAAAAACTGAAAGGGCCATAATTTCTCATGATTGGCAGATTTTGAGGCTCTGCACAAGCAGGAAGTGAAGGCTAAGGCAGAGTTACAACTGCCTGTTGGAGCACTGAGGATGTACCCCAACATCACACAGAGCCCATCAGCAAAGGATGGAAGACTTATTAGATCAGGACATTTAAGGAAATTTTTATCTAATCCTTAGCTGATCATTAAGCTAACCAAAGAGAGATTTCAGTAGCCATGTATAAAAAAGAATACAGATTTTACAGAATCAGATCAGAAAATCACTAAACGAACAAACAGGAGCAGCAGTAACAACATACAACGATTATAAACTCTAGGTATATACACCCAAGAGAAATGAAAGCATAGCCATACAAACTGTGTATGTAAATGTTCCTGGAAACAGTAGTCATAAAAGCCACAAATTAGAAACAATTCAATCTTCATCAACGAATGCATAAACAAAATGTAGTATATTCATACACTGCAATATTTTTCAAGCAAAAAAAAAATGAAGTACTAATACATGCTACAGTAGGAAAGTGCTTTGTGAACATGCTAAATGACAGACGTCAGATACAAAAGACCACATACTGTATAATTCCATTTATATGAAATGTTCAGAACAGGCATAAAGACAGAAGGTAGATTAGTGGTTGCCAGGGGATAGAAGGAAGGGGAAATGGGGAGTGACTATCAGTGTGTATAGTTTCTTTCAAGGATGATAAAAAAAGTTCTGGAATTAGATGGCCATAATGATTGTGGAACTTTGTGAATATATGAAAAGCCAGTAAATTATACAATCTAAAGTGATAAATTTATGATATGTGAATTCTATTTTTAAAATTAATTTTAAAAAACAATAAGGAAACAATCTAAATTTGATTTCCATTTCATTAATTTAGTCAAATGCCACAATTTCTTGTAATAACTGTCAATTTTAAAAGCCATCCTTCTAGCTTTTTATTTTCAGGAGTTGTTTTCTGAACTAACTCTACCAAAGTGAGCAGTAACTAGGATGTTTATGAAGGTTCATCTGAGACAAAAGCAATTCACTTCACATAGGCTATTATACAGCCATCAGAAATTATGTATTTCTATCACTGCTACCTGATACCTGAAATTGATATATGACTTAAGGTTAGATTATAAAGACTATCAACTTTTAGAAACCTCATGATATGCCCAAATTTCTTTAAGTGCAGCTAACAGGTTTTCAAATATTCCCTCAAAAATAATATTAATAGCTAATATGTTCTAGACATTGTTCTAAAAGCTTTAATTATATTAAGTTGAATATTTGCAGTTTCTGATATTCAATCATTTTTAGACCTACTTAAATGACAATTTCACATGTTTTGATCTATGATTGCCCTCCCCAAAATTCTAATATATGTGGGAAGTAACTAAGTTGCACATAGCTAACAAACAGATGCACTGGGATCTGTGCTCAGTTGAACTTCAGACCTCTCGCTTTAACTATAACATTAATACTATTACTAAGCCTAAGATAGCTGGAGAACACAAAGATGTGTTTTCCATTAAGATAATATCTATCTTGTTTACCACTATATTCCCAGCACCTAGCACAAGACTGTGCACAGAGCAGATGTGAAATAAGTATCTGTTGAATGAATAAAAGCGAAAATGGTTAAATAAGCAAATAAATATGAAGATATATTTTTGAACTTCCAATGGCTATCTTACAAGAAAATAGTAGATGTACAAAAATAATATTGAGACAGTAAGTACGTAGTAGCATAAGAGATAAATAAAACATGATAGATTGAAAGAAGGATAGATATCACAGAACAGATGTAACAATTTGGAAGAGTGGAAATAGCACAGGTTTTGAATTCAGGTTAAGTTCCAAGTTGAGCCCCAGTTGTGCTTCTTATTAGCTGTGTAATTTTCAACAAACACAGATTTACTCAACATTTAATATGTGTTAGATCTTGTGCATTTTGCTATGAATTAATAATTGGTCCCTAATTTAAAGTAATGCATAATTTAATAGGGGCAAACAGATACATAAATCATGACATAACCTTTCTGAGCTTCAGTTTCATGGTTTATAAAATGGTTTCTAGCTATCTATGAAAAGTCAATGCAATAACATAAGTCAAGCCATAAAGCCAAATGCTTGGTATTGTGTAATTTTTCAATAATTAGTAATTCTTTTCCCTATTGAACTATAGTTTATCAAATCAATAATTCCCAAACATTGGCCAGGTGTGGTGGCTCATGCCTGTAATCCTAGCACTTTGGGAGGCTGAGATGGGAAAACTGCTTTAGGCCAGGAGTTCAAGACCAGCCTGGTAAACATAGCAAGACCCCCATCTCTTTAAAAAAAAAAAAATTAAAACAATGGAAAGAATTCCCAGACATTAAAAAACTGAATATATATAAGTAAGTAAATATATATATAAGCAAAAAATGATGAAAACTATAGATTCAAGTTATCCTATTAAAGTACAGAGATGAATGATACTTTCATGCCATCTACCTATGTACAAATTACTCTTCCCAGTAAACATATTTACATTTTTCTTCTGAAGTCTATAAATATGCAAACATCTGTTTTAAAGCAACAAATCAGTATTATTACCACTTGTTTTTTTAATTAAAAAAAATTTTAATATAAATGTTGACCAGGCTGGTCTTGACCTTCTGGGCTCAAGCAATCTTCCCATCTCAGCCTCGCAAAGTGCTGAGATTACAGGCATGAGCCACTGCACCCAGCCCATTATTATTCTAAAAGCTGCAAATATATCAGCATGTCTGATTTTCTAACAAAAAGTCAATTAACAGAAGTATATATGCTAAAGAACTATAAAGACAAAGGGCTTTTTTCCTGCTAAGTTCATTTTCATAATTAAATCTGGTGGCTAATTTACACTTTTACATTGTTATGCATGGGGTTTGGAACACTGAAGAAAGGCTGGGAAAAGAAAATGATACAAAATAAGAAACATGGGCATGAAAAGGAGAATGCAAAATGATACATAAGAATGCAAAAAGAATCATCAGTCCTTGCCTGCATGAAATCAGCAGCAGTCACATAAACAGCTATCTCAGCCATCATTTAAATATTTCAGAGGTCAGAGGTCTCAAAAGAGTCTTTTCTGGGACTGGGTGCAATGACTCACACCTGTAATCCCAGCACTTTGGGAGGGCAAGGTGGGTGGATCACTTGAGCCCAGAAGTTCAAGACCAGCCTGAGGAACATGGCAAAACTCCGTTTCTATTAAAAATACAAAAAAGAAAAAATTAGCTGGGTGTGGTGGCTCGTGCCTGTAGTCCCAGCTACTCAGGAGGCTGAGGAGGGAGGATCACCTCAGCCTGGGAGGTTGAGGCTACAGTAAGCTGTGATCACACCACCGCACTCCAGACTGGGCGACAGAGTGAGACCCTGCCAAAAAAAAAAAAAAAAAATCTTTGCTGGCTAATGAAGAAAAGGGGAAGAGTTCTGGAAAGATGTCAAAAGAACATGTTTGTAAACAAACATGAATGAAATCTCAGGTAAGAACATAAAACCTCTAAGAAACATGCCTTGATAAGTCATAGGCAGAATGCAATGAATCATCTTCCTACTATATACAGGTGTCTGATATACAAAGGTCATATTCATAGGCGCATCAGCAATGGCACTTTCCAAAGTTTCTCACGTGACACAAAAGCCTTCACAGTAAGCCGATTAGCAGCTATTGAATTTAAAAACTTGGCAAAACTTTTTATGCTTTATGTCTTTAACCATATGTAAAATACATAAATCTCACCCTATTTCTCCATTTGAAATTTCTTCAGACACTTTCTAAGCATACCATCTTTCCAGGCCTTTTAGCATTCTATAGTCAAAGATGAGTAAGACACACTGTCTACCCTGGTATCATAATTTAAGAGAGAAAAAAGACACACTGAGAAACAACTAAATCCTGGACGAGAATTAAATAATAAAAGCATTAACAAAATGTTGATAAAACAGAAACGGAAGCACCTGTGGAAATCACAAAAGGGGTGGCATGAACTTTAATGGATGAATGGAAGTCTAGCAGGTCAAAAAAAGAAAACGGAAAAGGCATCAAGGCAAAATGAATAATATAAACAAAGACATGAAGGCATAAAATCTATGTTAGGTTTGAGAAACCAGGACAAGTTCAATGTGGCTGAAGCACTGGTACTAGGGGTGAGGTGGTGAGGGCAGGAAATGAGACTTTGGGAGAATCATTCAATTAACGTTATTATTATTCCTATGAGAAAATATGCAGAACAGAAACAAAAAGAATAATCACCTTATGTCTTTGATAGTTGCTCGTTTTAGTGGGTCAACCTGCAGCATATGCATCAGGAGAGTGGCGACAGAACGATTGAGATATTCTGGGATATAAAAGACACCGCCTCGGATCTTCTTAAATAATGTAGGTACATGCTCATCATCAAATGGGAGGGTGCCACAAAGAAGAGCATACAAGATAACACCACAGCTCCATATGTCAACTTCAGGACCCGCATACAATCTAAGAAAAAAGATGACGACACAAACCTGAAATGCAAGTATCACTTTTTCCCTCTCTATGTGCCCTACTTCTATATATAGGTAGTCTACATTCAGTACATATTCATTTCCAAGGTCTTTAATGAAGTCCACGGCCGCTCCCCAGTATTCAATATTTGTTCCTCAAAGAGAGTAAAGGGGCTAGCCAACTACTATTCAAGTCTGCCAAGTGAATAGGGTATTTTTATTTGTCACAAATTCATTTAACTGAAACATACTAATTAAAAAATATAATACTTTCTGTGGTTGCTTTTTGAGGGGAACAAAGTAGATGACCATGAACTTGAAAAAATACTATGGTGTATAGGTTAAATCTTTTTCCCAAAGAACTATTACAAGAAAGAAAATATACATATAATATACACATGTAATAGAATTTTTACCCCAGCACACCTTTAAAGAATATTTAAGGCCGGTCACGGTAGCTCACGCCTGTAATCCTAGCACTCTGAGAGGCTGAAGCGGGTGGATTGCTTGAGGCTACGAGTTTGAGGACAGCCTGGGCAACATGGTGAAACGCTGTTTCTACTAAAAATACAAAAAATAGCCAGGGATGGTGGTGTACACCTTAGTCCCAGCTACTCAGAAGGCTGAGGTGGGAGGATCACCTGAGCCCAGGAGGTGGTACAGTGAGTTGAGATTGTGCCACTGCACTGTAGCTTAGGTGACAGAGCAAGACTCTGTCTCAAAAAAAATATATATACATATATATGTGTGTGTGTGTCTATACATATATATATAGAGAGAGATTTAAAACATTAAAGTACTTTATTAGTACTGTGTAGACAGTATCCTGTATCACATTATCCTGAGTACTTACCATTTCCACTCTTATCACCTCCTAGCTCATATGACTAAAATTAGCTTTGATCCAGATAACCTATGCTTATAGTATTATTCCTTTTTTCTCTTACATTTCGACAGCATTACAATTCCCATGATAGCATATTACCATACTCAAACCTGGGTCTGTGGTAACAAAGTAAATCTCTACTATTCTAATGAAAAGAATATAATCTGTTTATATAAAAAATGGTGATTGTTTTCCAAAAGAAATGGTATGAATGCCACGTGTGAGTATAAATCTAGCAGCCACACTGGAAATCATTTGCTGTATTCTTCAAACTCCTTGCAATAGACTGAATGCTTATGTCCTCCCAAAATTCATGTGTTGAAATTCTAACCCCCAAGGAGATAGTATTAGGAGGTGGGGACTTTAGGAGGATGATTAGGTCACTAGTGCAGAGTTCTCATGAATGGGATCAGTGCCCTTATAAGAGCGACCCCAGAGAGATCCCTCGTCCCTTTCTCCATGTGAAGTTACAGTGAACATACGGTAGTCTATTAGGAAGCAGACCCTCACCAGATACCAAACCTGCTGGCACCTTGATCTTGGACTTCCCAGACTTCACAACTGTGAGAAATAAGTTTCTGTTGTTTATAAGCCATCAACTTTATTGTATCTTTCTTATAGCAGCCCACATGGACTAAGATAATCCTGTATCTGCTATTTGCAATAATACGTTTACCATATTTTCTCTCATAGGATTCTGTTAACTTTCAAAATCACACGTTGATCACTGTAGAAAGACTTGAGTTTACCATTGCAATCTGTATAAACATTTTTATAATGTACCAATGAATAACTTACATGAGTAACTACACAATCTCTACTTGTAGTTTAATTTCATGAAACAATATTGTCCCCCAAAATCTCATTCTTCCAAAGACAAAATATAAAACAATGCTCTATATACATCGGAAAATACGCAAGGTATTATTAAAGAACTATATCTAATAAATAAATAATGGCACTAGCTTAAATTTAGCAAATTCTTACTCTCTTATCTGCACTTTTGTAAAACGAAAGATATGTTAAATCAGGATCCACTTCAATTATTTTTCTAATGGGAAAACTTCGTAAGTATATAATGACATCTAAATGAAATGTTTAACATTTTTTAATATAACCATTATCCCTTTAACAATGGAAAAATAAATGAACAATTCATTTCTACCCTGTTAAAATCTTACCTTCCATAGAGAATATATTATAATTAAATGTTATCAAAATGACCTCAAGATTACAAAAAGCTTATGCTTCACTGATTATTACCTGCCTGAGATGACTTCAGGTGCTGCATAATTTGGAGATCCGCAACTAGTTCTCAGAAACTCACCATCTGACATCATATTAGATAATCCTAAAAATAAAAGTAATGTTTACCTGGTGCTAGATATTTTTAAAAGTAGATAAAGTCATATAAATATGAGCAAAATTTCAAGTCCTTGATCCTGCATACGTCATTGGTTTTTTTTAGTGCTAAAAAAAAAAAAAAAAAAAAAAAAAAAGGCAGTGGAAAGCATTTAACTGGAAAGAGACCATCTCAGAGTGCTTACACTATAACAAAAAACTAAAGCACATCACATGTATGAGTGAAACTAAATTTCCTTTCTAAATAAAAATGTTGATTCCCATCACAAATGAGGTTATTCTGAAGCATATTGACTTTCCCAAACATGAAAACATCAAAATATTATTTACCTTTTCCATAGTCAAAAGAATAAAATACAGACTACTACTTTTTTGCAGAAGCCTCTTTAAATTCTATAATTAGAAACCAGATGGGCCCCAACTCATAAAGAGATTATGTTTCAAAAGTTAATTTAGAAATATTTAATTCAACATAGAAAAAATAATCTATTGAACCAAAAATCTAGTTGAGCTATAGTACTAAATAAGTTTCACGATTTAGACAAGGAAGAGAAATAGAGAAAGCGATTTCCTAGTTTTTAGATTAAAGACAAGGTATAGACCACAAATAGGCAACAATAACTGGTACCTTTCTATCTCTCTCTTTAATCTCTCATTTCCTAGTCTTTTTCTCAAATACCCTAGTAAGGCATCCTTTCCACATACATTTATCCCAGAAAGTGTTTGGAGTATAAAAATCACATTTTATGTGCTTTTTACCTCTGACAAAAACCATTCTCTAATGAAGTTATTAGATGTTACCCTAAGGACCTCTTTGTGGATCAATTCAGAAGGGTTTTTTTCCAACTGCATGCAAATTTTCAGGTACCTCGGTTTATATGCATTCATCAGGGAAAGTGCCCATACTTTCATGAGATTTTCAAAGAAGTTTGGGACTTCTCCCCTCTCTTCAAAACAAACAAACAAACAAACAAACAGTTATGCATCATTTCCTTAGGAGAAAATGCAGATTGAATGGATTTATCTTGATGACAGCCATCTAACTTCTCTGGAGGTATCTGCATTTTTAAAGTGTATTTAAGTGAATAGAAAAAGCTACTGAGGAGATTTCAGCTAATCCCTTTCCATGGTACAGAATGTACAAGGTTGACATGGAAAGTTCTTATTTCAATGAATTGTTATGCTTTAAAAGGTAGCTAGTACATTTCTGAACAACCCTGGAGTTACATACCAAAATCAGCTATCTTGGCATTCATGTGTGCATCCAACAGGACATTCTCTGGTTTCAGGTCTCGATGAACAACCATATGCCTATGACAGTAATCCACAGCAGACAGAATCTGTTGAAAGAGCCGCCTGGCTTCCATCTCTTCAACCTATCAAGCATAAAAGAAACTGCATTAAGAATATCTGGGGCTGGGCATGGTGGCTCACGCCTGTAATCCCAGCACTTTGGGAGACTGAGGCAGGTGGATCACCTGAGGTCAGGAGTTCGAGACCAGTCCGACCAATATGGTAAAACCCCATCTCTACTAAAAATACAAAAATTAGCCGGGCATGGTGGCATGTGCCTGTAGTCCCAGCTACTTGGGAGAGTAAGACAGGAGAATTGCTTGTACCGGGAGGCAGAGGTTGCAGTGAGCTGAGATAACGCCACTGCACTCCAGCCTGGGCAACAGAGCAAGAGTCTGTCTCAAAAAAAAAAAAATAATAATATCTGATACATCTATTTAACAAGATTTTTAGTTTCATAATCAGGCTACATATAATTAAGCAAGCTTGAATTATGTTGGAATTCTCAACAAATCAGACAAACCAAAAGCTTGTCAAAGCTCAACATGTCAATAGACAAGTTTTTCTTCGTTGCTAAGCACTAATATTTAAATTTCAATTAATATTATTAAATGTGCACAATGTTTTGGGGAATTGACAGTAAAACAAACTAAAGCAGGACATACGTGAAAGTGCTAAGACAAGGAAATAACTGATGTTCAACATGATTTTACGGAACAGATTTTGAAAAGCATAGGCATCGTGTTGGCAATTAAGTGGAACATGTTTTCCAAAATCAGTATTTCAAAAGGTATGCTTTTTAAGAAAGAAAATTTGTCTAATACTCTATATGTTTAGTTGAGCATTATTATAAAAGCGACTTCAACCCTGAAGATATCTTTGCATTGTGCTATTTCCCGATACTTTCTTTTTTATTAGTTTAGAGGTTTAGTGTACCAGATAGTATGTTACTCACCCGTCCATGCTTACAGATGTAGTCAAATAATTCACCTCCAGACACATATTCCATTACCATAAAAAAATCTGTTGGAGTGCTGATCACCTGGTATCTTTTTTGTTAATAAAAAAAAGTTAACGAAATATGTTACTTTAACCAAAATCAACCTGGTATATCTACTCTTGCTACAATTTTCTATTTCAATGTTTTATAATACTTTAGGCAACAAATTATATGTTATCAAAATAATCACAGAGCAATAAACATGGACCATTACAAAATTATTCTATTTCTTGAGGCTGATGGCCATTCCTTCACATTCTCCCTTTCATGTTTACATAATTTTTGAAATCTTTCCCTCTTCAACAACTAAGTTAAGCATTGATTTTTTTCCATATAAACAAAAATTTGTTTACAGTCAAAGGAGATGAGGTATCACGTATTTAAAGATAAACAGAAAATATACTTGGGCCAGACATTGTGGCTCATGCCTATAATCCCAGCACCTTAGAAGGCCAAGGTGGGAGAATCACCTGAGCTCAGGGCAATGTTTTGGGGAATTGACAGTAAAACAAACTAAAACAGAATATACATGAAAGTGCTAAGAAAAGAAAATAACTGATCTTCAACATGATTTTATGGAACCGATTTTGAAAAGCATAGGCATTATGTTGGCAGTTAAGTGGAACATATCTTCTAAAGTCAGTATTTTACCAGCCTGGGCAACACAGCAAGACCTCATTTCTGTAAAACATATATATATTTTCCTGGACACATAATATGATACTACAGAGATACATTCAGCAAAATCCAGAAAGTGAAAAATGACCATTTCTTCAACAAACAAAATGCAAGAAAAAAAGGCAAAGGATAAACTATATGTTAAAAGTAACTCAGGAGACATATTGACCAATTATGCTGAATAGACTTATTTTGATTCTGATTCAAATAAACCAACTTAAAAAAGCATTTATGAAACAATCAGGAAAGTCTACATGCTGATTAGTGGTGGATAATGTTGTTAATTATTTTAATAAAGATGTGATAATGATACTATGTTTATGTTATTTAGAATTTAAAAAGTATTTTCTAGAGTAAATACTGAAGAGTTTACAGATTAAAAAGATAATGTTGAGATTTGCTTCAAAATAATCTGGCATAGGGGAAATGGGGAGAAACAGATAAAACAATGAATTGACTATTGTTGAAGCTGAATAAGACATACATGAGGTCGTCTCACCGCTTTACTTTTGTAAATGTTAAACAATTCCCATCATGAAAAATTAACTGTGTGTGTGTGTGTGTGTGTGTGTGTGTGTGTGTCTGTGTCTGTGTCTGTGTCTGTGTCTGTGTGTCTGTGTTTCTAGGCATCCAAAGCTGGGCACATTAAAAACTAAGAAAAAAAAATTAGCTTTATTTGATAAAAAATTTTTTTGCCCAAAAACTACAACTTACACCCCTATACACAATTTTACCAAACCAAGTTTTGGAGACTTTAAAATTAGTTTTGTTTTTTTTTTCTTTTGTTTGAGACAGAGTCTCACTCTGCCACCCAGGCTGGAGTGCAGTGGCCATGTTCTTAGCTCACTGAAACCTCCACCTCCTGGGTTCAAGCAATTCTCTTGCCTCAACCTCCTGAGTAGCTGGGAATACAGGCATGCACCACTATGCCCGGCTAATTTTTGTATTTTTAGTAGAGACAGGGTTTCACCATGTTGGCCAGGCTGGTCTCGAATTCCTGACTTCAAGTGATCTGTCCGCCTTGGCCTCCCAAAATTGCTGGGATTACAGGCATGAGCCACCGCACTTGGCCAGAAGAAATATTTTTAATGGCAATCATTAGTCTTTGGGAAGAAACATGGCAAGGTATCCTAATTTATATAAAATAAATGAATATGACTGAAGAAGAATTGAGACTATTTCAAATGAACTTTGGAAAGGTAATTAAACCGAGAACTCTAGAAGAAATAGTTTCATAAAAGCTATCTTTATAAGCGCCAAAGTGAATAGCGTAGGGCAGGTGCATCTGCTGTAGCACCTCACTGTAGGCTGGTCTGATTTAGTAACAATTCTCAATCACTTTTGTGCTCTGTACATCCTAGATGGGGCACAAAAGAAAAGAAGTGATGACATTCTAATAAATAAATTTAGCTGCAATTTCTGAGTATATCACAGGTATTCAACAAATATTCTTGGAATGAATTATTTCATGAAACCTCTAAATCCTTAGCAGCCACTGTCTTACACTAAAAGCCAGTCTAGAGCAGTGAAAACCATAACATTACTAAGCACTTACTGTCTGCCAGACATTAAGCTACTAAATGGTGACACAACATTTATTGAGTACCTACTTGTACTCAGTGAGACCAAAAGTTGGTGTCTCTACTCGTGGAGCTTACAGTTCAGCCAGAAAGACAGACATTAAATATTCTCTTCAAACACAAATATGATCTCCAGTAGCCTCTCAATTTAGAATCTTCAGAGGTTTCCCATTGCTCTTAGGTCCTGAATAAATCAGGCCCTTGCCATCTCTGTTGTTTGGTCTCACCTTTGAGTCACAACACTGAGTCACACTACATTTTTCAGTGTTAGTCATGCTGTACCTCCTCCTGCTACAGCTCCTTTGTATAAGCTGTTTTCACTGACCTGAATCCTATACTACGACCTAAGCCCTAATCATCCTTTAGATCTCAGCTTAAAAGTCACTTCCTAAGTCCAGGACTTCCTAAGTCCACCTTTTTGCACTCACAGATGCGTTCCCCTGAGCTTCAGAACACGCACCTCAGTTTGTAATTATATGTTTTTATTATTACAATAATTTGATTAATGAATATGTATTTAGTAGAGTGCCTATAACAAAGTAGGTATTTATGTAAATGTATAAATTAGCACTTTTAAATAATGTGAGTGCTTGGAGCCAAAACCAGAGTAATCTAAAACTGAAAAGTCACAGCAAAATTACAGCAAAACTTCAACCAATCAAATTTCCCATTGTCCCCCACCCCTAACCAGATGGAGTAGGGACAAAGGGAAACAAATTTCATAAGGAAGGAGTCCTAAAAAGACAGTTTTACATTAAGGATTTAGTGGAAAAGGCAAATTCCAGGATTACGCTCTAAGCCTGGCCTGAGTAAGTCAAATCTCTTGTGCTCTCTAAAATACAAGTACATTGAAGCATTATAAAAAATTCAATCATGAATCATTCATACATGTCAGTATCATTTTCTTAGTACAGCAGAGAAGTAAACTAATGTACTTTAAAAATTTTTCGGAAACAGCATTTCTAATTGGTAAAAAAAAAAAAAAAAAAAATTAATTATCCAGAAAAATCCTAAGCATTTTCCAGTTGACCAAGTTATATTCATTTTTAGGCAATAGCCACATAAAATAGTATACAAAAATAAAAAAAAAAGAGAAATCTTTCCAAAGTTAGCCAAAAATCAACATATAGGAGTACACCTTTTTGGTGATCAAATCTATCGAGATTTTAGAATATTATTTACGTAGCTACATACACATAAGTTTTTTCTTTAGTTAGAACTCAGTTACATAGAAATGTATCAATCATGCTTGGTTCATGACACTTGTCTTCAGTAGTCCATGAATGATCTTTTATTTAATTACTATTTTTAATAATGTAATACCTACAAACCCATCACTCAGACAAAAGGCCAAGACCTTGACAACAGCTTCCATCTAATTCATACAGGGATCCGCCTTCCCCATCCCATTGCTTCTCACCCAATGTAGCTGTCATCATGAAACCCCTGTTAATCCTTTCCTTCCCACCTCTTTTATTCAGTTTATATACGTACATATGCATGTGTGTATCCCCTCTCTCTACATACATATATTTGTATATTTGAATAATTCAAATTCATATATACGTTAAACTGTTCTTTGCTTTAAAAACCAGGTATCACGCTCTATGTAATATTCCAGTAGTTATTTTATTGAGATTCATTCCTATTGTTGTGTTTGCTATAGTTATTTGATTTGACCATTGTTATAATATCCTATTGTGTTTATTCATCTACTCTACCACTAAAGAGTATTTAGGTTGTCTCTACAATGTTGCTATTATTTGCTGCTGTGAACATTAATATGGTTTGTATATTCATCCCCTCCAAATCTCATGGTGAAATGTGATTCCCAATGGTGGGCATGGGGACTGGTGGGAGGAGATTGTATCATGGGGATAGATCCATCCCTCATGAATGGTTTAGCACCATTGCCTCAGTAATAAGTGAATTCTTGCTCAGCTCCTGAGAGAGCTGCTTGTTTAAAGGAGCCTAGCTCTTCCTCCTTCCTCTCTTGCTCCCCCTCTCACCATGTGACAACCTGGCTCCCAGTTGCCTTCTGTCATGATTGTAAGCATCCTGAGACCCTTACTAGAAGTAAAAGCCAGCACCATGTTTCCTGTACAGCCTGCAGAACTGTGGGCCAATTAAGCCTCTTTTCTTTACATATTACCCATCCTTCAGTATTCCTTTATAGTAATGTAAAAATGGACTAATATGAACATTCTTCTATATGGCAAGATTTTCTCCTTGATATGTACTGATGAGTATAACTGCTGAGTCACAGTTATTGTGCACGTTCCAATTGAAAAGATAACGCCAACTGTTTTCCAAAGAAAGTTTGGCAGTGCTAAAATCTTCAGAAAACTGGTGGATTTATATATTCTCCAACACTTGCAAAACACTGTATACATTTCTTCGTAGAAAATGTTGTGTCTTTTGCCCCTGTTTGAGTTGATAGTGCTTTTCTTATTTATGTATGGACATATGGAATAAGTCAAATTTTCTATAACATTCTAGAGTCTAAGGTAATTAATGTCTTGGTTATTAACTTTGTAAAAGTGTATGTTTTCAATCATCATTTCACATTGAATTTGGCTTTCACTTCCTCTGTAAACAAATCTGTACATATCTCTAAAGGATAACTTAAAGAATATATGTGTGTATGCATAATATGCAATATTGTTATCATGTATAAATATCAAAAATCATGAATGTCATCAAATATCCAATCAGAAGATTTAATTATACAAACGCAATCAATATATTGTAATTGGTTGATTTGTCTCTTACGTCTCTTCTAATTCATAGG